CCGACCTGCAGCCGGCTGGGTCCCTTCCCCACGGTAGGTCGGCGGCATGGCCCCAGGGCCTCCGGGGTGGGCGCGAGGCTGAGGAGGCCTCTGGTTCCCTGCATGTGTCTCCCCCAGCCCCCAGGATCAAACGGCCTAGGCTGCAGGTGGTCAAGAGGCTGAACTTCAGGTCGGAGGAGATGGAGGAGCTGCCTCTTCCCGACTCCCCGCCGATGGACATCACCCCGCCGCCGAGCCCTGAGGACCTTGCTGAGCTGTGGGACCGCGAGTGTGTGCCTCAGACATGGGCGTCCCATCCCATCTGTCCAGGGGGACGCAGGTGGAGCCCATCCGGTGCCCTGGATGAGGCCTGGGGGGTGGGGAGGGTTCCATGGCTGAGGGTGGCTTTGGCCACCCACATCCAAGGGTGATCTGAGGCTTGAGTTTCTGTCACCGATCCCTGGTCTATCCTCAGAGCCTCAGACGCTGCTGCTGACGTGGGTCTCACACGGGCCTCCCCAGCTGCCCGCAATCCCGTCCTGAGGCGGCCCCCAATCTTGGAGGACTACGTCCATGTGACATCCACGGAGGGCATCCGGGCCTATCTGGTGCTGCGTGCTGACCCTGTCGCCACAGGGGTGCAGGTGGGTGGCCGTGGCCTTCCTGCACGGTGGGTGGGCTGGTGCTGTTCAGGAAAGGGTCCTGGGAGCCCTCACCTGTGCCATTTGCTCACAGCCAGTCCTGTGCACACTGCCAGGGGCTTCCTCGGGGGAGGCTGCTTCGTGGGGCGTAGCCTTAGAGGACACAGTCTTCCCACCCCAGACTGCTGTCCATTCTGTTTGCATGGCCTGGGGGTGGAGAGGGTCTCCTCCCTGCTTCTCTTTCCGGCTTTTGCCTTTTCTCTCTTTCTCCTCAAGCTGCCCACCTTTGCAGCTTCCTCTTTGCAGCTGTCTCATCGGGATGGCTTTTTTCTTTTGGCCCCCCTGCCCCGTTTCCCACCCCTCACTGGCCAGCTTACTGGGGTTGTCCCACCTGGGTCTGTGAGCACTGATGGGGGCTGGGGTGAACCCTGTGACCTGGGAGGAGCCCATGGGCAATTGTTCTTCCTTCCCCACAGAGCCCTCTGCTCCACGTCCCGTGGCGAGGCGGTGGCCAGCTGGACCTGCTGGGTGTGTCCTTCGCCTCCCTGAAGGAGCAGGTCGACGGCGAGGTTGGGGCTGCGGGTTTGCTGGGGGGTGGTGGCGGGGCCGCCTGAGCCCTCCTGATCCCAGCCTGTTGTTTGCACAGCGGCGGGAGCGGCTGCTTCAGGAGGCCCAGAGGCTCTCAGACACCCTGCGCAGGTGACTCTGCCAGCCCTTCCGCCCTGGGGACTCTCGTTGGCTTCTTGCATGACCTCTTAGGTCATGTTCCGTGGTGTGTGGGCAGGCGGGGTCCCTGCGAGGGGTTTGTGGCTCAGGACATGGTTCTCTCCAGTCTCAGGTCAGGGGAGGAGGAGGCAGCCCAGCCCGTGGGGGCCCCTGAGGAGGAGCCAGCTGACGGCCAAGACGCCTCCACTCACTGCCTCTGGGTGGATGAGTTTGCACCCCGGCACTACACGGAGCTGCTCAGTGATGACGTGAGATCTTGTTCTCGCTCAAGTGTGACTGGCTTCCTCTGTTCCCAGGAGGGAAGAACCTGGGCCCAGTGATTTTTGCACAGTTAGTCCACAGGGCTTCGGACATGGAGTGGGGCTCTGGTTTATCCCTTTGAGTTGTAGGCGGGGAACTGAGCACAGGGCTGTGTGCTATTGGCCCCCTGTGACGTGTGAGGCAGGCCAGGGGTCCAGGGTGTCACCTGATCCAAGTCTCAGTTCCTTTACCTACCTTTGCAGCAGTTGACACTGAGGTGCCCCTGGGGAGGGCAGGTGCCTCCCAGATGGGTTGTGGCCAGAGCCGTGGGGACGGAGCCCCTGGTGTGAGCCTCATGGTCACTTACCAGCAGGAAGATGGAAGTGGCCATTCATCTTGCGGCTCAGCGTCCCATGGGGTCATGGGGCTCAAGGTTGCAGGCTGACTGGCCGTGCCTGGAGGCGGTGCCCTCAGGCTATGCCTCCCTTCCCGCAGTTCACCAACCGCTGCCTGCTCAAGTGGCTGAAGTTGTGGGACTTGGTGGTGTTTGGCCACGAGAGGCCTTCCCGGAAGCCCAGGCCCAGTGTTGAGCCAGCCCGGGTCAGCAAGGAGGCCACGGCCCCAGGAAAGTGGAAGAGCCACGAACAGGTGCTGGAGGAGATGCTGGAGGCTGGGCTGGACCCGAGCCAGCGACCGAGGCAGAAGGTGAGCCCTGCCAGCCATGCTGCCAGCAGTAAGCCTGAGGCTTTGCACTTGGCGGCCGGCACCTTGGCAGCCTGTTGAGTTTCTCCAGGAGCCGTGGGTGTGATGACACGTGGGTCTTGGCGTGAAGTGCCATTAACATGAGTTAGAACTGGGTATGTTCCGATAACAACTTGGGGGAAGTCAGTGTCCCTGAAGGGCTTTATAGTTGGGCTAGATGGTCTGGGTGGAAGGTGGGTGGCTTCTGGGGGCTGTCACTTGGGTACCAGCTGTGTTTTGTCTGCGTGAACTTTGTTGTGTGCAGAGTTTTTTTCTGTTGCCACCTTGGTGCATGAACGTGGTGAATTTTGTTCTTATTTGATGGCCGGAGTGGGGCGGGGGGAGCACCCAGCCTGCGGGGCACACATGGCAGTCCCTGGTTGCTGGGCCAGGAGCATCCTGTAGGTGCGGCGCACACCACGCCTCCGTCTACCTGGGCTGCAGGTGGCACTGCTGTGTGGGCCTCCGGGGCTGGGGAAGACCACCCTGGCACACGTGATTGCACGTCACGCGGGGTACTCTGTGGTGGAGATGAACGCCAGGTGAGTGACGTGAGGCCTGTCTCTGGCTCTCCTTCTGTCCTGATGTGTTTGAGTTTTGGCCGTGGACCTGAAACCGGGTGTGGATGTTCCCATCTCGAGGGTGGTGGGGGCCTGGGCGTGTGGGCCAGGGAAATGTGGCCTTCCTTGGGGTTCACGGGAGCGGCACGGCTGTGTCACGTGGCGGCTTCTACGCAAGTGCAGCAGCCCCGGCCTCGGGAGGCTGCCCGGCAAGGGATGCCCGCTGTCCTGACGACCTCTGACCTCCCTGTTCCAGTGACGACCGTAGCCCGGAGGCCTTCCGCACGCGCATCGAGGCGGCCACCCAGATGGAGTCGGTGCTGGGTGCTGGCGGGAAGCCCAACTGCCTGGTCATCGATGAGATCGACGGGGCCCCCGTGGTGGGCTCCTTGATGCCTGGGTGGGTGGGTGGGCGGGCAGGCAGGTGGGCAGCAGGACCTGGACTCACTGTCTTCTGCACCTCCCCCAAGGCCGCCATCAACGTCCTCCTGAGCATCCTGAACCGTAAGGGGCCACAGGAGGCGGAGCCACAGGGCCCAGCTGTGCCTTCGGGTGGCGGCCGACGGCGCCGGGCAGAGGGAGGGCTCCTCATGAGGCCCATTATTTGCATTTGCAACGACCAGTGAGTGCACGGGTGGGCGCCA